AAGACTGACGTCCTTGGTTACTGTGTGTGTAATTTTGCTGCGTTTGGGAGCCGTTTCTGCAGTCTCAGGAACCACTGTTGCTTTTAGGAGCTTTACCAAGCTGGCACTTGCTTTGGGGCACACAGTGCAAAATCATCTGTTCCCATAAGGAGAGCTGAGCTACCCCCATGGCCCTGCCCTGTGCCAGTGCCGTGGCAGCCGATCGCAGCCCCTCAGCGTGAGGTGCAGAGGGATTGCTCGGATGTGCCTAGATGCTGTGTGGTGTCCAGCAAGGGACTGGGTTTTTCATTGGATTTGTTTTCTAAGATCAGCTCTTAGAAACTGAATGACATGCTGTGCTTGGAATATCACGTCCAAGAGCTTTGGAGGTGATAAAGACAAGCTGAGTTGGAAGTCCTTATCCCATGGGTTCTGCTTTTCACAAACGTCTAACTACCCAGGAAGATCTCTGTCCTGCCAGGTCCTAGTCTCCATCCAGCCAAACCCAAGAACTGCTAGATCAGGGGTTCCTGGTTGTGCTTCTCAGCTCAGGCTCCTGAGAGGGAGCCGTTACCAGAGCAGTGGGTCTGTTTGCAGTGTTTGTCCCCACAGTTTCCCTCTCCCCAGACCATCTTTGCTCTGTGTTACTGTAGGGCTTTGGCAAAGTGGGACTGCACACCATGAAGTACCTGCATGAGTACAGAGCCCGCTGCATCTGTGTTGGGGAGACAGATGGAACCGTTTACAATCCCAGAGGCATCGACCCCAAGGATCTAGAAGATTATGAGCAGGTGAGTCAAGCCCAGTCAACCCAGCCCCTGTTCTTAGGGGCAGGTGGTCAGTGCCTGTCTCTGGAACACCCATGGAGAAGGGGGCTGCCCCTCATCTCCTGAAGAGCCCAGCTTTGAGGGCAGTGATCAACACTGCCAGGCTGGGCCCAGCATGACTCTCCTGCTCATTCCAGGGTCACGGCACCATAGCTGGCTTTCCAAAATCAGAATCCTATGATTGCAACACCTGGAGGTGCCCTGTGACATCCTCATCCCTGATGCTATTGAGAAGCAGCTCACGGGGCAGAATTCACCCCGGGTGCAAGCAAAGGTACAGAGTACTCGTGCTGCACACTCCAAGCAGGCTCTGCATCAGTACACGAGTGACAGCAGCCAAGCCAAACCTTCATTTTTGGCGCTCAGCACCCCAGGGATGTGTCCCATCATTGCACTGATAACTTGACCACTGAGACAGAGGGAGAGAGCATAAGGCACAGGTGGCAGATCACATAATTTAGCAGAGGAGAAAAGCCTAAGCCCTTCCCTTTGCAGGCAGGGAGCAAGGATCACTGGAGTGACCTTTGCTGGCTCTTCTGGCATCCTCAGTCTTCATTGCTGTATCAGATCCTCCTCCCAGGGCAGAGGAGATCTTACAGTTGAAGGTACTGGGTGTCACAGTGTTGACACTGAAAATTATAGGCAGCAGATAAGAGTGAGCAAAACAGAGGACTGCTACAAATACCAGCTTCCTCCCTTCACTGTGAGCTCCAGGGACCAAAGGACAGGGCGTGCTGGCGCCTGGGACTCCACCATGGCCAAGGTCTTTTGCAGGCTGAGCCCTCATTCATTCTGAGTGAAACACGGGGTCTGAGCTTTTGCTCATCCTGAACAGCTCCAGTGGGGAAGCGAGTGCCCAGACCCCTGCCACCAGAAATGACGTGGTGGGGGGATCCCAGCACTAGGAAAAGCAGCCTGGAACTGATTTCTTATTTTATTTCTTCCACCTATGTCACCTCTGCTCCACTCGTGCTCTCAGATCATTGCAGAAGCTGCCAACAGCCCCACTACACCAGCAGCACACTAGATATTCCTGCAAAGAAACATCCTGGTCATCCCAGTATGTCCATATGTTGTCAGCTGCTTCAATGTGGATCCAGCCAGGCTCTGCTGATGGTGTTGTCTCAGTCAGCCTGTTCCCTGCCTTGCCCCCAGCTCCTGAGCACTTCTAAGATGCTGGTTTCCCTTCTCAACCCTTCTGGTTTTTGGCTGCCGCAATGGTAGACCATGGGGCTCCTGGCCAGCACCGGGATGTCCTGCAGCCACTGGTGGTCAACAGCAAACTGTGCCACATCAGATGGGGTGTCAGAGCAGCGGGTGTCTGCTCAGAGGCAGTGCAGAGCCACTGTGGCTCTAGGATTTGGCCATCCAAGTAACCTCAGGCCTGTCCCTGAGGGCAGCACCCGGGGGTATGGTGAGGGACCCAAGACAGAGGAGGAGAGATGCCCAGATCGGTCATGTGTCTCGGGGTCACCCTAAGCAGCAAATCTGAAGCGTGTACTGCCCTTGGCAGGACGTGTATGTGAATGCAGGTGGTGTGACTGTATCCTTCTTTGAGTGGCTGAAGAACCTGAACCATGTTAGCTAAGGCTGCCTCAGCTTCAAGTATGAGTGGGACTCCAGCTACCACCTCCTGCAGTCAGTTCAGCACAGCCTGGAGCAGTGGTTTGGCAAGTCCAGAGGGGAGATCCCCATCATCCCATCCCCACAGTTCCAGGCCCATGTGACTGTAAGTGCCTACGACCGTGGAGGGTTGTCCTGGCTGACCTATTTCACGTTCCCAGACACTCCTGTCTGCTGTCTCAGTGCTGAAAGCTGAGCTTTGGCACACACAGAACCCCCCATGCACTCATCCCACTGATGGAGGGGATGGGGTGGAGATGCTGTGTGTAGTGCCATGTGCTGGAAACTGCTGCATCAGTAGTGGTCCTGAGCTGAGCAGAGGGGCTGTGTTTGATAAATGGGGTTGGGGGGGCCAACCTCTAGCTTCTTCCACAAAGGATTCACTTGTTGTCCCCCTCAGGGTGCCTCAGAGAAGGACATTGTGTATTCAGGACTGGCCTATACCATGGAGCAGTCAGCCAAGGTACCTCCAAGGGCTCTTTGCCTTGCCCATCCCTGCTTGTGGGCCCATTGCCTCGCTGCAGAGGCCCTGGGCTGTATTTGAGGAGTGCCCACACACAGCACCCCATCACCACTCCTGGCAGGGCAGCACGAGGCCCAGTGGCGGCTGTACCCACGCTTTGGGCAAAGCCTCATGCTCAGCAGGGTCCCTTGCTGCTGCTGGGTCCCTGCCCCCCTCTCTCCATTCCTGCAAACCCCTGTGCCCCATTTCCAGGGTTGCTGAGATGAGCCGGGGTTGCAGTGCTCGGGGGGGGTTTCTCGTGGCACCCCTCGGGGAGGCAGCTTCGTGCTGTGCTCAGCAGTGGGTGCCTGAAGCCCACCCGTGGGCGCAGGGCCTATCCCCAGGGTAGCGCCGTGGGGCAGCAGCAGGAGATGCAGCTCCAGACCCGCTCGAAGGTGGCTCCAGGTCTTACAGAGCCGCTCCCTTGGTTGTTTGACACAGGGGTGACATCTACCCCCTTGGGTGCTTCTGGGGTCTGGCCTGGTGCTCACATGCGTGGTGCTGCCTGCACACTCCTCACTGAACCCTCTGTCCCCCCCCTTTCCCCCAGACCCTCCCAGCACACACCACCCTCACAGCTCTCCTCTCTTTCTAGCAAATCATGACTGTGGCTGCAAGGTACAACCTGGGCCTGGACCAGAGAACCGCCGCCTACCTGTGCGCTCTGGAGAAGGTGTTCACCGTGTACAATGAGGCTGGCTTCACCTACTGACCCAGCACCCGGCAGGGCTTTCCTGGGCCTCACTGCCAGCCACACGGTGAGGGTCATAGTCCTGCTGTGCAGGGACACTGCGGGCGGTGCAGAGGGGACACCCCGGTCTCTATAAATGGTTGGTTTGAGCACATTCTCTCTCTCTGCTGCCTGGCTCTCAGCTCTCCTGGGCAGGGGGGGCTGTCTTCCCCCACACCCCCTCTGCCCCAGCCTCTTTACAGCCTTCCAGACACTGGAGGAAGCTGTGTTGATACTGGTTTGGGTCTGCTTGCCCACAGCTGGCAGAATTGGATAAAAGAAGCAAAATATACAATTAACTCTAGGGGAGGGGGCAGCCTAGAGCACAGCCAGCCCCAGAAACAGCCGTCTTGGTCCATTTAATAACACACAGTGGGTGCTGCAAGTACTGCTGCAACTGGCGCAGACATGGGGAGCAGAGCCAGGGCGGGGATTTGCAGGCATCAGCAAACCTGTTGTGTGTCCGTGCTGACTGCTGCAGCTTCGGTCTTTCCCGGCAAAGCTGACGAGCCAGCACGAGTGGGGGATTTAATCTGATATTCATGGCAGGCAGACTCAGCCCAGGCTCTCACCCTTGCCCATGCTGCAGCCAAGGGGCTGGAGGCTGGCTGCGGACTTGGGCTGTGTTGGTGGCCCTGCCCTGCGGGGGCTGAAGGCCCAAGGACAGCACTCTGGGGTGGGCACAGGACCCCCTGCTGTGGTGGGCATCGCTCCATGGTGCATGGCAGCCAGCTGCCCTTGCGGTGGTCACGCTGCAGCTGAGCAAGCCACGGGTGCCAGCCATGTCCCTGGACCCCTGAGGTCACGCAGGAAGGTGGGATGGCAGAGAAAAAGCTCCCCGTTGCTCTGCACAAGGTTGGGGTGCATCCCTAGGAGGTACCTTACAAAGAGCAGCACAGTCCTGCTGCAGGGAGGGCTGGGGAGAGCCTGTGACCACCACCTGAACCCCCTCTGCTAGCACAGCCAGTGTCTGCAGGGAGGGAACCTCAAGCCCAGGACTGTATCTAGTCTTGTCCTCAGCCCCAAAGGGCCCCTGCATTCACCTGCAGACGCAAAGCACTGCAGCCAGCACACAGGCTGGTGGCACAGGGACATGGCCTGCACCCCAGGCCTCAGCCAGAGCGTGGCTGGAGGCCCAGGGCACGGTGACCTTCTGCTGACACAGCAGTGAGCAGACAGGAAGGCATTTTGTCCTCACAAAGACCCAGTCCGGCCCACTCCCCTAGACTAGACTCAGCAAGTCTGCCCCAGCCCCTCATTCCTCTCCCCAAAAGTCTCCCTGCCACCAAAGCGCAGGCCACCCCTCTCCCCAGGGAACCCACAACCAGACCAGGGGGGCTACAGACAGGAGTTGGCTTTATTCACGGACACGGGGGCAGCTGTGTCACTGGCAGCTGCCCTCGTATTGCACATCCAGCGACGAGGGCGGGGGGATATCCATGCCACGTCACAACACAGCGTCGGCACTACGGGACCTCGGGGAGGGCGCAGGCACCGCCACCACCCAGCAGGCTGGGGAGCGGGCTTGGGCGCCAAGGGTTCACAAAGGCAAAAGACCCGTCCACCCATAGATAGAGAGAGATATATAAAAAAAAATAGTTCCACAATGACCAGAGCAGAACCACAGGGACACGCGTGCAAGCAAAATGTACAGCAGCCCGCGAGCAGGTAAACATGCTTTGTACAGACACAGACACACCAGGACGCAGCCAGGGTTTATGGCGCTGGGAGGGATACAGAGCCACAAACCCGGGCTTCACGGACACACGCACGCACACACGCACACCAACCCCTGCGGGCAGTGCCCATGGCTCGGGCACGTGCCAGGGCTCGGGGGCTTGGACATGGCGGGGTTTTCTCACTGCTAGACACGGTACAGAGACACAGACACGGTCCCTTGGAACGGAACTGGAGGAAGAACTCGTGAGCGAACAGGGCAGGGACACCCCTGCTCCTCCCCGGCATGCGGGCACCGGCCAGGGCCGGCTGGGGAGGAGCAGGGGGCTACCGGCGGTTCGTTGTGCTGCTGGTGGAAGAGGCGAGGACAGGGGTCCATTATGCCTCTGGCTCGTATTCCTGGTATTCCTCCTGTGGGGTGTGGAAAGAAAGAGCCGGTGAGAGACCTCAGGTCAGGCACAGAGCCCTTGTCCCCCCCAGCCCCAGGCCAGCCTGCCCGCGGGGCTGCAGGCCTGTGTGCGTGGGGCACCTGGGAGCAGGCAGGCTCTGGGCTTTGCTCTGGACAGCGATGGCCACCAGCACGCTGAGCACTGACAGCCTGTGCCCTCCACAGCACCCTGCACCCCTCTGCCACCCCGTCCCCTCACCTGCGGGGGCTCCTCGTAGTTCTCCCCCTCTGGCTCCAGCAGCGGCTCAACCAGCGGCTCCTCAACAGCCTCCTGGGCCACCTCCTCTGGCTGGGGGTGAACGAGGGGGGGTCAGTCACATGCAAACAGCCCCCTCTCACAGCATCCCACCGTCCCTGCCCCTGCCAGACCCAAGAGGGGCAGGGGGGGGACCTGGCAGAGACCAGCAACACACCCACCATATGGGGGTCTCTACATGGGGAGCATCAGTTGGAGGGAGCAGCAGAGACCCCAGGCACACACCAGCCCACCAGGCCGGGAGGTGAGAGGGGGGCTCTGTGGGAGCAGCGTCTGGGTGTGCGTGTCCCTGCACCGCTCCCAGCCCTGGCCCCAGGCAGGCGATGGGTGCTGGCACCATGTGGGTGCTGGGGGGGTGGG